AAAAAAAAAAAAAAAAAAAAAAACAAAAAAAAAAAAACCAACATGTTTTAAAAAAAAATATAAAAAAAAAAGGAAAGTGGGGGGGGGGGGGGGGGGGGGGGGCTGAAAATTGGACAAAACTTGCATGAAAGTAACGCATTATAAGAATCACAATGAGTGCTTCACCAATCCAACGCCACACCACAACCAAGGCTCGCAAACACACATTTTTTTTTCCACGCCACTGAACTATAACACTATTCTAATGACCTACCCGCTTTTACACCGCAGATTTATTTCAACAATCTCTTCAGAAAAACACAAGCAACCATGACGCTTTAAACACACTTGTGATATTAAAAAACAAATAAAAAGAAAATCTCAGTTAGCGCAATTATCTGGAATTTTATGTTATTGTCCCTTTAAAAAAAACGGGGAAAACGATTTTTGGTTGCTGTGTTTGGGGGTGGGGGCTGAAAATTTAAAATAATCTGTTGTCATCGGCAACGACACTATGTGCCGAATTTCAGCTCAAAAGCCTGACGTGAAATGGACCAATTAGCCGTCAGAAGATTTTGCCAGCCAGACTCGTTGCCGATGACAATACATTCTATCAAATGTATTGCATAATTATACTTATGTACGTACACTTTCTCCCGATTACCCGTACCCCCATGCTCAACTCTCCTAAATCAACAACAGACCCTTGAGCAGCTTGTATACAGAACGCGCACGTCGATACGACAGAAGAGTTCTCTGAGCCAAACAACAATAATGTACGGGTTCTGGGCTGAGTCTAATTTGAAACGTCAAGGTGAAGGTGGTGTGGAAAAAGTGAGAGAGATGAAAAGTTAAAAATACTTGCGATAGATGGAGCAAAGTGCCAAAATATAGTCGATTACTTAAAAAATCGTCCAAGCGATCAACCTGACATCAGAATAAATGGCACATTGAACAAATACGGGAGGAGAGTCAAAAGGATGAAAACAACAATTCTTCAGTGCCGCTTTTGATTTTGTCCAGGGAAGATTGGACACTCCAGCCCACCACAGCAAAGAGTCAATTAATTATAAACTGTCTGTAGGTTTGAGACTGCATATTCTTCCTTTAAATCCTATGGACAAAAACAATTATTGAAGCTGTATTTTAAATCAAAATGTCCAAAATTAAAATTGAACATTTAAAAAAAAAAAAAAGCAAGACCTTCACCTAGGCGATGTTTTTTTTCACCTGTTGTACTTATAATCCCTACCCTTTCTTACATTTTATGGAGTAACATCCAACTATAGGATATTAAATCCTATGGACAAAACCAATTATTGAAGCTGTATTTTAAAACAAAATGTCCAAAATTAAAATTGAACATTTAAAAAAAAAAAAAAAGCAAGACCTTCACCTAGGCGATGTTTTTTTTCACCTGTTGTACTTATAATCCCTACCCTTTCTTACATTTTATGGAGTAACATCCAACTATAGGATTGGGTTGTTATTTTTTTTTTTTTTGAGTCCGAGCTGTAGTCATACATTTTTCATAAACTTCAACGCAATTGTTAAGTTATAAATGATGTACGATAAAGGTCGATTTATTTCTATATATTCCGGGATATGTTTTGTTAATGTAAGGAACACCCAATCTCAATATTCTGATCACTGATATATCGAGAGAACAACGTGCACTCTGGTGATCTTGGTTTCTAGTTATTTTCAGCGTGTTTCTAAAAGTAATAGGGTAACAGATTCTGTGATTGTATACTTTTTTTACGTCGGTCAACGAAACAGCCCGGTTGTCTTGCCCGGTCGTGAATCAACAACACAACTATTTTGTAATTTAAAGAAAAGTGTGTCCGGACGAAAGGGAAAATCCATAAGTTTTAAATTTCAGTTTTGCTTTATTGACATTTTATTCCGTCTGTGTGCCGCTTGTCCTGTGTAACATTTAGATTGGGGAAATCCTGATCAGATTTTTGCTTGGCGTGTCATTTTTTGCAAATTAAGTTTCTCTTTAGTGAAGTAATCGTTGTTTCCTACATGTCCTGCATATTGGGTGACCGTTCCCTAAACCATTCACGGAGGAAGTTTTCTATGGGCAAAACAACAGAATGAGCAATTCATTGATCGTGGGCCCTTAAAATAAAGAAAGAAAGAAAGAAACAACTGCACACATGAAATTACCTTTTGATACGGATCAGAAATTCGGTAAAACCCTGTTGCTATATATAGCGCTTATGTAGACAATGATTTTTTTTCCAATGACACGGCTGCGGATCATTTACGTAACTAATGACGACAAAGTTTTAATAAACAGTTTCAGGTGAGTTTTTTTGTTTCTTTAAAATAAGTTTTAACTTAACTTTAAGTTATTGAATTGACAATAAAATACAAATAAGATCCGCGTTCACATTAGCAGTTATTGAGTATTTGAAAAGTCGGGGTGGGGGCATTAAAATCAGGTTGTGGGTTTGGAATTTTGGAGGTCTTCTCAACAACAATCGTCTAGCCATTGCTTAGTTCTCAAGTATCTGTGTATATGGTCGTGTAGTCCTTACGTTTCGTTCCACTAAGGCAAAGCAGAGTAGGAAGTGAAATACAACTGTCCATGTCTCAAGTTCTGTTGAGGAAATAAAGCTTTGCATTTAAGATTTAAGATTGTTTTGTGTGCTATTAAATAACATATTACCTATGAAAGTTTTGGACAAGTTATTATTTTTAAATTGTAGAAAAGTTATCAATGAGAAAGTTGTAGACGCCCAGTGCGATGCTGTAATTTAAATAAAACATCACTTAAATATTGAATTATGAGATCATTTGATGCGTATTCAGATATTTCATATTTAATTAAATTAAGAAGACTTTGTTAAAATCCACATCTTTAGGTTTATTGCATTATATGTCCAGACACAATGGACAGTGGCGTTGATTTTACACACAGGATGTCCGGTTTTCGTTGCCTGTTCAACCTTGACCCACCTCGAACGAGAGAGAGAATTAAATCGATTCACGTCAAACTTGACATAGAGCTAGCCACTGAAAATGATTCGATTGCAGAAACCATTGCAAAACTCAACCTTTTCACGTGGGTAGAATTTAAACTTGGCAACTACAAAAATGCACACAATCATAACAATGATGTTCTGAAAATGACAGAAGGAGAAAATATAACAGCTTTAATAAACCAAGCCCACCTTTTACTGAGAAAAGGGGAGGAAATACGTTCTGAGGACTGTCTAAACAAGGCTGAAAACCTGAGACAAAGCCGTCAAGGTGAAGAATTGATGGTCGACGTTGAAGCTGAACTAGCGTATTCTTTAAGCAGGTTAGGTGGAGATGACAATATAATCAGCGCCATTGACATGTATACCACGGTTGTAACGAAAAAGCCCAAAATGTATCCGTGGAAATTTGGTCTAGGCTTACTACACAGACGTGCAACACACATCAATGTCACTATGAAAAATCCTACAAAAATGCCAGTAATCGAACATTTGAAATTAGCGTTTGACAACCTGAAAGATGTGGCTAAACAATCTGAGGACAAAGGTCTCAAAAGTAGAGCGTATGCTCAGCTGGCTTTAATGGTATGGCAAAGACGATGTTACCATGGTGACTGTAAATTATTTGATGGTACAAATCTGGAAAGCCTAATAAAGAATGCTTTAAAGCACGGATCCAAAGATGCTCGAATACTTTCAGACTGCGGTCAAATCTTGAGTAAAACTGACTTGGATAGAGCTACACGTCTTCTGGAGCAATCTTTGGCGATAAAAAAGCATTCCTCTACTTACCATCATCTGGGAATGTGCTATCAAAAATACGCCACATTTAATGCCAAAAAAGGTACACTAAAAAAAAGTGATCCTAAAGTGGATTTAGCCAAAGAATGTTTTCAAAATGCCATAAACATTTCATATGGTTGTAATATACCGGCTATTTATAGCTTAGGCAGATTACTAAGAGCGTGTGAAGAGACCGATGAAGCTCTTAAGCGATTTAACCAAATTACTCATCAGACTTCAAAGGAAGCTTTCCCCAAAAGTAACGGCGAGGAACTGCAAGGACATCACGAGTATTTAAGCACGGTCACTAAAGCCTATGAACAAGCAGGCTATTGTCTTCTAGATCTTGCAAAGGGTACGGGGAAAACGAAAGAAGACTGCGAAATATTAAAAACTAAAGCAGAGCAGAAGTTTTTGAAAGCCATTAGTTTGACTGCCACTTTGTGTAATATTCATCCAGAAATAAAACGATATGAAATGCAGATATTTAAAGCGTTCACAATCCTAGAAGACCAATATGAAGAAACGAAAGAATCCCCGGAAATCATAAAAAAGTACCTCGAGCTCCCGAGAAAATTCCCGAAGTCATAGAAAGACTTCGACGTTTGAATGTACAAGAATTAGCAGACCCAATGGTCATCAAAACAACCTTAGAAAGTTATTTGGCATTAAAGCAATATGAAGCAGCTTTTACGTTTTTTACTTTTCCCATGATAACTCAAAACTGCAGTGGTCCACTTCAGCCGCTTGCTTTAAAAGTCAATCTGTACACAGCAGCCTCAAGACTCCAAGCTTTTGACAGCAGTGCTAAGTTCATATTGAAACCCTTATTCGATTCTTGCTGTGAGAAGGAAAGATCAAATTCTTGTGAAGCTGATCACCGCCATCGAGATGATAAGGCAGACGATTCACAAGACAACGACTGTGCAGATGTTTTGATCGTGGACGAAGAAAATGAAGAGACCTCTAACTTTGATTTTGCTGTAAAGGTTAACAAGTTACAAGAGATCATCTTGGGAGATTTTGGTCTGGATGCCATAAAAATTGACGAAGTAAGGTGCAACTTAGTTGTTTAATATGTTTGCTATTCTTTTACATTAACACATTTTACATACGTTTAATTGTGATTGTTTAAAAAAAAGTTTTGTTTTCAATAATATTATAAAAAATTAAGTTTAGAAGTAAACAATCAAGACTGTATTTACTCAGCTTCTCCTGACGCAAAGTAAAAGTAAACTTTTACCTTTCGTTTATCGATTGGTTGAATTTAATTAAAACCTTTTCCTGTTTAGTGTTGGAATAAATTAAGATATCTATAATCTGAATTCTAGAAATTTTAACCGCGTTAATTGCTATAGTATTCAGCAGTGAATGGGTTAGCAGTTCTCCAGTGATGTGCTCTTCACTGGATATTTAGAAACTACAAGGCATTTGCAAGTTGTTATTTTTTTTTAAAGAAAGAATACGATTTTTCCCGCCATTTCCCAACTCTCACTATCAACGCAGCAGGTGTATCCAAGGAAGGCAATGACAAATGTAGCGTGACACCATTCCAATGCCAACCCGACACCTTGTCTAGTTACAACATTGTTATTATATGATCTAAATACACATAAAAGCATTGGGATGTTAAACTTACATTAATATATATTCCTTGTCAGAGACTAATCCCAGGTAAAATACCACTAAATCAGCAGATGAGAAAAATAAGGAGAGCTAAAACGGTTCTCATTCTACTAAGGGGAGAGCCACAGTCCAGGTTAGGAGTAGATGGATTTCTATTTTTAATGAAATTGTTCAATGATTAATTTCATTTGGAGACTTCATTTTTAAACTTTACATTATTATATTTATCATCCCCCTTTCCCCGCAATAAAAATTATCACCAGTCATTGTCACTGGAAAACAGAATCGATCAAATCTCATATAAAATATTTTAAGTCCAAAGTGCAGTGCATGTAGAACGTGTTATTTTTAATAAATTTTTCATAAACTTCTATCGACAGTCAATTATTTTTTTAAAATTTACGTTAACATAAAGAACATATTGATATTTTCCTCAACATTTACATGATCATATTTTTTGTAGATTGACAAATCTTTTTTTTTTCTGTTCTTTTGTTTAATCTAGTTAGAAGCATATTATTAAGTAGTTTATATTTTCTATTGTCAGTTTTAACTAAAGTTTTTCAAACTTGATTTTCATGGTTTAACTGTTTAGGTCCCTTTGATTAAACAATCCCTAGGTTTACGAGCATAAAAATATTAAGACAATCTTACGGTCCAAAATAATTCAAAGCAAAACAAAATTTTATTTTAACTTTTAGCCTTTTCGAGAGTTTACTGGAGTTTATCCCCACTCTGAAGATGGAGTGCGGCAAGGACGGCAAACCTGGTCCGCACATTTTACTGGGGCTAGAAGATGACAGTGTCGAAGTCCCTGAGACACTCATGACGTATGCTAAGATTAATCTATGGAGTCTCCTGGATAGAGCTCAAGACTTTCCAACAGATGCAAATAACGAAGCCTCCAATACTGACACACAATGCAGCGGTGCAGTGGACCGACATGACGCTGAGGTTGATACTCTTCTCTCTCCAACTTCAAAGCCATATAACGTGAAAGACATCCAGGTGCCTCAGAGTTCCACTGACGAATTCGATGACGCTACCACAGCTAAGATGTCGCTTTACTGTGCCATGATTGGCAATGAGTGGCCCGTGTAAAGTCTTTTTGAAACTTGCAATATCCGGGGTTTTTTTAACAGCTATTTCTCAAAACTTAAATTTGACCAATGATTTTCAAACTCCTTTTGTTATTGATTTTTTTTTAAAGTTGTTTTATCAATTCAGCGTCAATATCACAATGAAGACACTTACAGCTACAGTGCATTTTTTTTAATTTTCTGCGTTGTGCATTAACGGTCCGAAGTATTAAAAAGAAAATGTTAGAACTTGCTATACTGAAAATTTTGGGAAGATCATGTATTTATTTTCCCAATCCATAGTTACGAGCCCATGATCTATATATTTACGTATCCATGGTTCAGGGTCCTTGATCTAACGTTCAACTTATACATTGTTCGGGGCCCTTTATCCAATTATTAATGCATCCAGAATCCAGATCAAAGCACTGACGTTGATTTGTAGAAAAAGGAGATGAATATGTAATAATGTGCTCATATTTCTTGTTACTTGGGGGCTGCATATTGGTCTAAGGCGGATGGTTACGGAATAAAGCTTTTAAAAAAATATGAAATTCCCCTAAAATGAATGTCCGGGGCCCATTTCGGCCCGCTCCACTAAGTAAAAAAATCTTCTTGTTTTTATAATAATATTACCATTTACATAAATGAAATTGTGAAAAATATATTTCAAAATTATATTTATACTCCGTTATGTTTGTAATGGTGTGTGATAATTATCAAAATGTATTTTTTTATGTGGTTTTATTTGTATTTCTAAATAAAATACTAGATTTAAGTTTATTAGTTTCCTTAAAATTAGCAGCTTAAACCAAATGGCCATAGTTCCGGACTAGTGTTATTCATTTTTATTCAAATCCATTTTTATGCGCATCGTTTGAAAAAAAACTCTACACCACACTTTATTCCACAAATATGCACATTGTGGTGTAGACAGATGACGCTTACCAGTGATCATTTGAATCCTTCTGTTACAACTGGGGATTTTCCAATGGTTAAATTTGGGTATTGCCTCTTTTTTCTATGTTTACCATTTTAATTAATTTTAACTCATCGACTTTAGTTGTTAACTGAAACCAGGACCGTGCTGAGGAAAAGCTGCGCCCAGGGCGGATCTTGAAAATGGTGCCCCCGTTTCATCAATATATTATTTATATTATATGTCTTATATTGAGAACTATATCAGTATATAAGAATTATTTACGCTTTAAGCACCCCCCCCAACCCCTTTCCTTTGAGGGTTGTTCTCCTCGGAGCGGCCGTCACCTTCTCAGACAATTTGCATGGCCGCGCTTGTAGCCCAAAAGATTTTGTACTCGTCGTTTCTCTATAGATGGAGTCATGATATTAGTAATAATGATACAAAAATGTGATATTTATTCTATTGATTTATGGTTCGTTAACCGATATTAGAATTTAACTCTGTTTTTTTTTTGTTATCCATAACATTTTTATTAGAATAAATGACCCGATGTTATCGGGATAATAATGGTAGGTCCTTTGCGATAATTTCTAGATGCTATTGCAAAAACTCATTACAATTCATAACTTTTAAAATGTAATGATATTTACGTTTCTAACATTATTAAGTTTTGAGAAGTGTTTGATCTGCTATATATGATACGAATATCCTACACCCTTTCACGCTCATGAACTACTTTTTCCCCTCTAAACATGACCTTAAATTGCCCAGTCTAAATTATCACTAATGATATAACTTGTGTCACTAAAGAAGTTGATTGAGGGACAATTACTACGCTAGAGAAATACTTTAGATCTACCCCTTTTCGCGCCCTTGAATTACAACTTATTTCTCTCAAAATATATAAAAAAAATAATAATCTTAAATTTACAAAAAAACTCTATACCTGATATAAATATATTTTGTATTACAGGAATTCGATATATATTGATATCTTCATAAAAAATTTAAACATATTTTTGCCCATTTTTTAAAATTATACATTATCAGAAAATCGTAAAACAAAGAATTCTTTTATCTACAAAGAGTCTCGCAACTGTTTTTCACGCCTATATCAGATTTGACTGTCTTTTTCAAAAATTAAATTGTTAATCTCATAAAAATACACACCTTTTTACTTTTTGCAAAGTAACAACAAAAATATATTTTCATTTTTAAAAAGAAAATATTAACCCATCTTCATGTGTCAAAATTTAATTTTCACGTGTGTAAAATGATTGGGTTGTGATATGCATGTATATACTCATATAAATGTACCCAAGATTTGTTAACGCCATTGATTTTATTAATTGGTAAACATATTATGTGTATTTGTAAAAAGAGAATTTAACATCTCTTTTTTCACAAATGTAATACCATAGGATTTAAATATATTATTATCCACGTAAAAATGTACAAATCATTTTTCCTATCTCCGATATGTATGTATCAAAGAAGGTTAATTATTAATCAAATTTAGTCCTTTATTTTGGGAGTATCGTGTTTTGCCTTGGGCAAATCAAAAATATCAATATTTGTAAAAAGAGATTGTAACATCTTATTTTTTCACAAATTTAATACCATAGGAGTCAACTCTGTTGTCATCCACGTAAGAATGTAAACATCGTATTTCATACCTCCGACATGTATTTACCCAAGAAAAGTAATTATTTATCAAATTCATTCCTTTATTGTGAGACTTATCTTGTGCTGCCTTGAGCAAAGTGAACATACATATATTTGTAAAAAGAGAATGCAACATCTCTTCTTTCACAAATGTAATACCATAGGATTTAAATATATTGTCATCCAAATAAAAATGTACACATCCTATTTCCTACCTCCGATATGAATGTAACCAAGAAGGTTAA